GAAGAGAGAGAGAGAGAGAATGAGAGAGAGAGAGAGAGCAGGTGGGGGGGGGAACAGGTTGGGACACAATCGAACACATGGTCTGTTCTGACCAAACAGCAGGAATGCACCTCATGTTTTCAGCTCGCTTTATACTTGTTTGCTCCTACTTTTCTGGCTTTACACTTACGATTTTGCCTGTTCCGGGCTGGTCATGTTGGCTTGATATCCAGGCCCAGATGTTTCTAGAGTTCTTTTTTGTGTTTCCTCGGCAGTTGTGTGTGTGTGTGAAAGGAGGGAGGGGGGGGGCACATATATAGAACTCTGCTCTTAACTTCAATAAAAGTTATACATTTCAGTTTTTCAGTCTTGCATTTTCTTCTCCTTGTGATCCTTTTGATGGGTAGAGAAGGTCTTGCGAGGATCAGGGTCCTCGGTAGGCCTATGGGGCCCTGTTTGCAGCATTACCCGCCCTAAGTGAAGCCGGAGGTGCCCGCCCTGAGTGAAGGCGGGCCTGGCTTTTTGCAAGAGGCCCTCGACTGTCAATTTCATATTTGGGGTCCAGGCACTTGCGACGCGCCAGTTAGTTGAAAGAAACACAGGCCGAGCAACAAAGACATTTCCACGGCCCTCCGGGCCTTTCCAAAGAATGCAGGCCCTGGGCATGATTCACAGCCTCATACAGAGACAGTTGGGCGCCCAACCGAACGAGGCCCAGCAGCCCAGTAGCTGCTGTACGCAGGCAGCCTCCTGGGGCCTTCCGGAAGCTTCTGGGCCCAGGCCAGCCCAGCCAGGCTGCGAGAGCTGGCCAGCTCTTTTCCATAAAGGAAAGAGCTCTGACCAGGCAGCCTCATTCAGGCACTCGCATGCTAGCGGCAGCGCTGCTGGAGCAAAGGCTCGCGTCTGCTGGCTGGCGCTGAGAGGCGAGGTGCAGCACGTGCGGTCGTGCAGAGGAGGAGGGCGCTGCTGAGGGCAGTGCCATAGCCCAGCCACCATAGCTGGTGGGCTTGGACTACAGTGAGGCGCAGGGGTGGTCTTCGGGTCAAAGATAGGACAGGTGTGGGTGTAGTCAAGGGATAGGTGAAGGATGATGATGATGATGATGATGTGAGGGCACATACCTTGTATTGGCGATGGTCTGCATGGGCGACATCTTCAAGTACTTCGGGCTGCCGCTGATGTCAACAGTTGCATTGTCTTTTTGTAGTCTGTAGTATCTGTGTAGGAGTAGGCTGGGCACTGAGCGCCAAGTGTGAGGGTGAAGGAACTGGACTCGTGTTGAGAGGAGAGAGTATGCTCTCCATGGACATTGGTTTTCAGTGCTACGAACCTCCATTGGTGTATTATTGGTGCAATGCTGCTCTCTGGACACGGTGTGACTATATGGCTTTCAATGTGATGGTGTGATCTGGAATTGTCATCTCGCTGTTGCTTATCTTTCTTGCAATTTGGTATCGGAGCTGGTTCATATTGCGCTTCATTGGTTCTTCGCAATAGCTATTGGTGCTTCGCATGAGGTGTGGGGCAGTGATANAGCTGGTTCATATTGCGCTTCATTGGTTCTTCGCAATAGCTATTGGTGCTTCGCATGAGGTGTGGGGCAGTGATAAGGCATTGGCGTTGAACGTTAGGCGGCCCAGGGTAGAGTGGGCGCGCTATGTGGTGACATACGGGGTGTATGCTGGATGATGAGAACTCGCTGATGTGGCATATTAAGCCAAGGTGGAACCGCATTCTGCTGTTGGTTGTGCTGAGGCAAAGACCGSTCATCRTAATTGCACATCAGGTTRCSGGTGAGAAATCTGTGGTTGGGGGCAGCATTYATGAGGTACGTTGCTCTCTTCCTTATCTACCCTCTTCATCTCTTCTTACCGTGAGGAAGTGAGTTCTGCCTTGAGAGTCCTCTCGATGTGAGGTATCGCGAGCGCTCAACCTTGAGAGTCGACATTCTTCCTGGGCAGCAAGCTGGTGGGAGACGGGCGAAGCCTCTGAAGGGCCCTGGACGAAGCACTCGGGTCACGGTCACCATGCCAACCTGCTAGGACTAGTACACGCATGTTTGGGCAGCAAGTCCTTGGTACCGCTGCTTGCGCAATAGAGGTCGTGTAGGGCATGCCAGCCTTTTATGAGACGCCTACCAGACCGTCTATAAATATTTCTGGCTGGGGACTCGGATCTGAATCTGGCTGTGATCGTCGTCCTGTCTGCGACGTTAAATAATTCCTGAGGAGATGGGGGCTCTCCTTAAATCCCTCCTGATCAGCCAGATCAACCGGGTGTAAGGCTCGTTCCGTACGAGGATAGATAAGAGTGGAGTGGCTGGCATGTTCGGCAGTGACTTGGGGCACAGGGGTGGGCCGGATTGCACACCTTTAGACACGCTGCTCAACCAGATGCTCAGGATTGTTGACACAAAGAGACTACTCAAGAAGTATACAAGGGGAGGGGGGATTCCGGTAACTGTTCACAGTGGCAATCAACTATCAATCTGCCATCCAGTATACATCTCCAGCAGGAGATGTTATTTTTTTTTTTATTATCTAGTTGTTACCGACTTGACTAACAACTGACAGACAGCTACAGATAGATTAGATCTTTGCTGTAGTGCAATCTGTTCCAGGCTAATCTAAAAATAGAATTAATATATCATGTAGGACCTGACATTAGACGTTAATATATCACCTAACTGTTTCTGTTACAGGCGACCGAAATTAGTTGTGGTTCATAATCGGTTGTGTGTCTGGCTAAGGTAGGATTCAGTGTGGATTCTAGTTTAGATCACACACACTGTAGCTCATGAGTGATGCAAGCACTAGTGAGGAGGAGTTGCTAGTGGACGACCGTAGGACTACTCGCGGGATTGCCCGTAGTCGACCCTTGACATTCTTGGAGTTAGGTCCAGGAGACGAGAGGAGATTGCGGAGAGAGGCTAGAGAGAGAGCAGCGACACTAACATGTCGCTGCTCTCTCTCTAGTTGCCAGGGACTACTGGAGAGAGTTAGGTCCAGGACTACTCGTGGAGGGACCGAGTTGCCAGGGGCACTTACATGAACTGTGGCAATTATGGCCACACGTCGTGTACATGCCGAGGCAAGAAGGTCACAACGAAGGTAGCCTCACCAACGGTGGTGGGCTTATCTTCGAATCCTGGAAGTGCTTCTGCGAGCAGCTCACAGGGAAACACCTCGGGCCAGTAGGAGTGTTAGCCGCTCTTACTCATGTTGAAGTGGTAACGTTGCCTTCCCCACTTTAGGTGTTGGCCAAGGCTAGAGACCCACACATCGCCCCGCAGACACATTCAGACCCAGCGACGCTCTGTTCGAGAGATGTGTTCGAGGCCCTAGAAGAGTTAGAGACTGAGTGGTCAGGGAAGGACCCCAGGGACTCTTGGGTGATGATCAGTAGAGGTTCAAGAGGTGAACATTTCCTGGTAGAAGTAGATGTAGGTGGCCGCAAGGTTGGCACCTTCGCAGACATAGGCTCTACACGAAATTTCATCAGTCGTGCTTGTGTGGATAGACTGCGCTTAGGGGACCAAGTGCAGCGGCTTAGCAGAACTGTAGCTTGTACGCTGGCCAACAAGCACCAAATGTTGGTGAAAGACTATGTCAAGGACGTAGTCTGCACCTTCTCCTATGGAGGAGGGGAAGTGAGTCATAAAATCTCCTTCCTGGTTAGCGACAAACTGCCATTTGACATGCTCCTAGGTATGTGCTACCTCGAGGTCGCGCAACCACAGTTTGACTGGGATAGAAAGGTATTGATTCACAAGTTGCCCGACGGTAGATCTGTTAGATTGCAAAAGTTCAAAGCTAGCAGTCTAATAGAAAACTACGGGTGCATGTGTGCATCATCCTTCTATAACTATTATAAGTAGAATCGCGAGGAGGGCATGTATCTAGTATTTGTCTCTAAGAAAGGGGAGGCCGTTAAAACACCCCCAGAGATAGAATCATTCGTCGCACAATATTCAGACGTTTTTGAGGAGCCCACACGCTGGTGGAAAGGGAGGTGGTCCATGCAATAGAGGTTGTCCCAGGTAGCAAGGTGCCTAAAGGACGAATCTATAGGATGTCTCCTGCGGAGTTAGATGAGTTTCGCTGCCAGCTTAAGGAGCTCACAGAGAAGGGATGGATTCGGCCTAGTACCTCCCCTTATGGCGCTCCGGTCCTATTCGTACCGAAGAAGGGAGGTACCTTAAGGATGTGCATTGATTATAGGGGCCTCAGTGCCATCACCGTTAAGAACGCTGAGCCCCTACCCCGCATCGACGACCTCTTGGATAGAGTGCAGAAATGCCGGTACTTCACCAAGATAGATCTGAAGTCCGGATTCCATCAACTTGCCAGTAGGCCTGAAGATGAACACAAAACCGCATTTCAAACCAGGTAAGGTCTGTACGAGTTTTTGGTGAAGCCCTTTGGTCTATGCAATGCACCTGGTACATTCGAGCACGTGATGAACATGATTTTTCATGACTACTTAGACAAGTTTATTGTCGTGTACCTCGACGATATTCTCATCTTTAGGACTGTAGAGGAGCACGCTGAGCACTTGAAAATATTGCTAGGTCTCCTAAGACAGTACCAGTACCAGGTTAACTTGGAAAAATGCGAGTTTGGTCGCACCAAGATCTTGTACTTGGGTCATGAAATCTCAGCAGAT